TTACAATTGTGTGTTCCTTTGGTTTTTGTGTCACTGTCTCAACCAGATTTCTTCCCACTTCACTGGCTTTCTCATTTATTCTGGCTAATAAATTTTGTAACAATATGTTCATATTCACAAAATCTGAATGAAAAGTAATACAACTTTCATTTCTAACCCAGCATAATTCAAAAGTTTCCTTTGAAGGAGATTGAATTATTTTGGTGTAATTTGGCTTTAGAACCCAAGTATAGTTAAATAGTTATTCAGAATATTTTTGTTGTTTGCTTTTGCAGTTTTTGGCCAGCCGGGTTTGAACCTGCCACCTCTGGCATATGGGGCCAGTGCCCTACTCCCTTGAGCCACAGGTACTGCCCTTGTTTTTTACTTGTTTATTTAACAAAATGTTGTTGCTCTGAAATTTAAAAAAAAAAAAAAGCGCATGAGTTTTGCATGGTGGTTCCTGTCCTTAACCTCAAAACTGGGAGGCTTAGATGAGAGGATTACTTGGACTCAGGAGTTCAAAACAAACCTAGGTGACATAGGAGACCCTGTCATACAAAGAAAAGCCCAGGAGTTCAAGGGTACAGTGAGCTATGGACGGCCTACTGCTCTTTAGCCTGGGAAATAGAGTGAGATCCTGTCTCTAAAAACAAACACATACAAACATACATGCCACAAAACAAAACAAACACCACCCCCTCAAAAACTGCACCCAAAAAATGCATGCTCACTGCATGCCTAAAAGATAATACTCATTTAGATTTAACTGTAAATTTTTCTTCTTTTAGGTTTTCTTTATTTTTTAATCTGAAAAATATTTTTTCCCCTAAATGACTGCATGAAAGTTAGGAAGAAAATGAAGGATTTCAGCTAACCTACATCAAAACCCGGTGTGATGGAGGACGACGAGCTGCATGAAGAAACTGGCAGTCAGACATCTGCGGAAGTCAAGGTGGCTGGTTGCCAAGGGAACCAGCAGCCCTGGTCAGCCAAATTCGGGAGCACTACCAAGGTGTGGCAGGGACAGTACGGTTTTGGGGGCCAACCACTGTACACGACCTGCCCAAACTCCAGAGGCTTCAGAAGTGACCCCCACACCTAGATAAGGGCACTGTGCTGAGTGCGCTCACTGAGGAGTTCAGTGCCAGTGACTGGGAGAGGACCATGAAAGAGAATGCATTCATCACGAACCTGCCTGAAGAGTGAGCTATGGCAAAAGGAGGAGTGACGCTCCTCCCAAACGTACTGCCCCTGCCGCACCCCAGTGCTGCTTCGCAGTGTGGATTTCTACTGTTGCTAAGTTTGTGTGTAAGATGTGGGCTATTCAGGAGAATGTGCCATGTTCTAGGGTAGTGGAGTCAGGCCCCATTAGGTCCTCGTGTGTAGTTTAACTCCGAGGTCCCCCCTGGCTTTTGTGTCATTGTCTTAACGGGATTTCCTCCTACTTCATTTCCTCCTCTTCATTTAGTCTGGCTAATAATAATGAACACAAACATTCACTGAAGAAGCCTAGTGTCTCATTTTGTTTTTCACAGCAAACTAAGGCTTAGCATGGTCATATTCTTTTTTTTTTTTTTTGCAGTTTTTGGCTGTGGCTGGATTTGAACCCGCCACCTCCGGTATATGGGGCTGGCGCCCTACTCCTTGAGCCACAGGCACTGCCCTGTGGTCAAATTCTTTGTGTTTGGACCCCAGTCTGTTTCCTCATAGAGCTCCACATTCACCCAAACGGGCTGCATGCTCTCATATCTGGAGGAACAGCATAGCTACAAGTAGTAACCCAAGAAAAAAAGGCTTGGCTTAAGAGGTAAATTGGGAGGTAAGAGAATTAAGGGGCATGCAGTGATCCTTTAAGGATAATCCCCTCTGCCATTTGATCCTGCAATTCCTTTATTAGGTATATATCCAGAAGACCAAAAATCACAAAGATATTTGTATCAGAATATTTATTGCAGCCCAATTCATAATTGCTAAGTCATGGAAGAAGCCCTAGTGCCCATCCATCCACAAATGGATCAATAAACTGTGGTATATGTACACCATGGAATATTATGCAGCCCTAAAGAAAGATGGAGACTTTACTTCCTTCATGTTTACATGGATGGAGCTGGAAAATGTTCTTCTTAGTGAAGTATCTCAAGAATGGAAGAAAAAGTATCCAATGTATACAGCCCTAATTTGAAGCTAAATTATAGCTTTCATAGGAGAGCTATAACCTAATTATAGCCTTAGAATATGGGGAAGGGGGAGGATGAGGACAGGGGTAGGGGAAAGGTGATTGGTGGGGTCACCTCTATGGTTTATCTTACAAGGGTACAAGTGAATCTTTCTAAAAGCAGAGTATGAATGTCTTAATAACTAAGAAAATGACACGAAGGCTACATTAACCAGTTTGATGAGAGTATTTCAAATTGTATATGAAAACACCACGCTGTACCCCGTGATTGCATTAATGTACACAGCTATGATTTAATAAAAACAAACAAACAAACAAACAAACAAACAAACAAACAAACAGGATCATCTCCCCTCATCACTAAGGGGATGATCCTTAAAGGCATCATCCTCAGAGCCAAGGTCCAGGGAAGACCAGGAGGCTGCAAATTCCCGGTATGACCACAAGGGGGCAGCATCAAGAAGCGAGAGACAGCCCCTGACCGACCCAGGCTCAGCTTGCCTTCCATAGGCTCTCTGAGAGCCCTCTCTGGGGGCAGCACCCACGCCTCCCTTCCAGGAGCTTCTTTCCTGCAGCTTCGTTTCTTCTCTCCTCTCCACCCCTTGGAACTCCTCCTCCCCCTAGTCTCCCGAGCTGGCCTCAGAAGAATAGTAACAGAGCTCGTTCCCCTGGGGTAGGAGTTGGGGCTCTGTTTTTCTCAGGCACCTGAGCTCAGTGCCTCCTTGCTGACCCTCAATCACTCCTTACACTCCACTCCCTAGGGCTCCAGAGAAGTTACATATGGGCGGGAGAGGCATGATTGGTGAGTGCTCCAGGCTCAGAGCAGGGAATAGAGGCCAGAAAAGTCTTGTCCCTGCTGTGGGAAGTCACAGAGACTGGCAGGAAGGGCGCATTGCACGAGGAAGCCGCTCTAGGGGTCGCCCAGCGATCGGGCTTCCAGATGACAGTAGCCCGATCCTGATCTAGTTCAGTGACCTACATAAAGAGGAATTTCTTCAAATCTGCGATGCTCATTCCAAACTTCTGCCTGTCCTTTGTCCCACGACAGGGGGCCCTAGTTTCTGCCTCCTACTCTTCACTCAGGCAAGGGGAATTACTCTTTCAGGGAGAGAGAGAGAGAGAGAGTCGTGGTGTGGTGGTGATTGGTAATGAAGGAGACTGAAGCTGGGCTGTAAATGTAAGTTGGAGCCACACTGTTAAGGGCTTGGAGTTAGGGTGGGTTTGGATGCCTAATTAGAAGTTCTGTCTGTGGTTTCTTTACAGGCCCACTGTAATCTGATTTCAGACAGGAAGCAGAAGCTCAGTTTTGGAGGTGGGATTCTAGGGATTCTAAGAGTGCTCACTTTATCTGGAAGGCTCTGGGACTCTTACCTGCAATTTGCTCAACAGAAACCTGACATGTCCAGTTTTGCTTTTCAGATGGCAGTGATGTGGAAGGTGGATTGGAATAGACTGGATTAGGATGGAGGGAGGCAAATTGGAAGGCTTTTTTTTTTTTTTTTTTTCAGTTTTTGGCCGGGGCTGCGTTTGAACCTGCCACCTGTTGCATATGGGGCCGGCACCCTACTCCTGGGCGTCACCCAGGAAGGCTCTTTTTATAAGCTGGGTAGAGTGGGTGATATAATGAAGTTGGGAGAGGAAGGGTGTGTCACATGAGAGAAAAAAAATCCTAATCAATTAATTGAAAGAGCAGAATCACATGGGTGGGGGGAAGAGGGGGAAAAGTTGAGCTGAGACCAGCTGCCCTGACTTGGAGAACATGGGCACTGGGTGGCAGCATTCTCTGAGACCAAGGGCAGAGCAAAGAACAGGCTTGGAAAGAGCCCTGTTTTGGGGGGGATGAGTGAGGCTCTCTAGGTGGAAGTATCAAGGGGGCAGAGGCTCAGCACAGTGGGATCTGCATAGAGAAAGTGGAGTGTGGGGTGCTGTGTGGTCACCAGACAGAGACGGCGGAGGAAGGAGTGTGCCTGTGGTTGCTGGAGAGGGATGGCAGCACAGACTGATTTTCTTTTCATGTCTCAGCTGCATCTGTTTTCCATGTCACCCTCCTGGCAAGCACAATCTGGGACTCTTACATGGTCCTTGAGAAAGCCTGGTGGCAAATTCCATTCTGTTCTTTGTTAGGGGTGGGAAATGACAGACCCTCTTCATCCCTACCTCCTAGAGAATAGCTTTCTCCAGATTTCTTCAATTAAAAAATAAGCTACCTATTCAGAAGGGATTTAATGTTTTTAAAGCAGATTTCTAGGCCACTCCTTTCAAAATTCTAATTCTCTGGACCTGGAGTAAGATCCAGGTGATTGCTGCCTTTAACTACACAGATCATACTGTCAGAAAAATTTGAGAAATGCCACTCAGGCTCAACACAAACTTCTTTCTTGAAAGCCAGTACTGGACTGTGTTCCTGCTTCCTGTCCTAAATCAGATTATAGTAGATCTATGAAGAAACCATAGACCAAACCTCTAACTATAAATCTAAACCTACTCTAACCCCAACATATACCAGAAGAGCAGTGACCAGTGTGGGTAGTTCTGTGCAATCTTGTCTACTCTTGTGAAGTGGCCAAGAGCAGTGCCCTGGTCAGCAACATCAGCTCTGAAAATGAACGACTGTTTCACATGTGTTATGAGTGGCCTTCAAACACTGAGATTAATGGGGCAGTAATGAAATCTGCTGGTGCAGTGCTGGGGTCTTGAGAGGCTCAGGGAAAGGCTCAGGATATCCAGAGTGTGGTATATGAGAAGAATCAGATCAGAGAGAGACTAGGGTACAGAGGTATGAGAAGTAAGTCTATTTGGTACCATTGGTACTCTGATGCTTTTTCTTTATAGGTCTTTTCTTTCTCCTGCCCCACAGCCAAATGATGTCTCTACTTTTCCCTTTCCTAGGGCCTGGATTCGAAATGCAGAAGCCTCAGATCTTGATCTCTGCCATGGCCACTCCAAATAGAACTCTGGTCCACCCAGCATACTTCCTTCTGGTGGGCATCCCTGGGCTGGGGGCTGACATACACTTTTGGCTGGCTTTCCCTCTGTGTTTTATGTATGCCTTGGCCACCCTGGGCAACCTGGCCATTGTCCTCATCATTCGTGTGGAAAGGCGCCTGCATGAGCCCATGTACCTCTTTCTAGCCATGCTTTCCACCATTGACCTAGTCCTTTCCTCTGCTACCATGCCTAGGATGGCTAGCCTTTTCCTGATGGGCATCCAGGAGATTGAGTTCAACATTTGCCTGGCTCAGATGTTCCTTATCCATGCTCTGTCAGCCATGGAGTCAGCTGTCCTGCTGGCCATGGCTTTTGATCGCTTCATGGCTATCTGCCACCCATTGCGCTATGCATCTGTGCTTACAGGGCCTTCTGTGGCCAAGATTGGCCTGGGGGCCCTGGCCAGGGGGTTTGTATTCTTCTTCCCACTGCCCTTCATCTTGAAGAGGTTGTCATACTGCCGAACAAATACTGTCACACACTCCTTCTGTCTGCACCAAGATATTATGAAGCTGTCCTGTACTGACACCACAGTCAATGTGGTTTATGGACTCTTCATCATCCTCTCAGTCATGGGTGTGGACTCCCTCTTCATTGGCTTCTCTTACATCCTCATTCTGAGGGCTGTGTTGGAGCTGTCCTCACTGGGTGCAGCACTCAAGGCTTTCAACACCTGCATCTCCCATCTCTGTGCTGTCCTGGTCTTTTATGTGCCCCTCATTGGGCTGTCCGTGGTACACAGGCTGGGTGGTCCCACCTCCCTGATCCATGTAGTTATGGCTAATATCTACCTGCTTCTGCCACCCGTGGTTAACCCCATTGTCTATGGAGCCAAGACCAAGGAGATCCGTTCAAGGGTCTTGCGTATATTTTCACAAGGTGGCAGGTAAGAAGGCCATCTACCTCAGTGTCTTCAATTCTTTCTAAGATGGGAGGATTAGTATCCTATTAATTGACTTAGTAATTGGACCATGAACCCACTGGACTATCTATTATCTAAAGAGATATTGCATTTTGTCTCTAGTAATGTGTCAATATGGAAGGACTTGTGACCCTGCCTGGAAAGAGCATCCTAGAGGATAACTGCCTTAATCTCTGTGCTATTGTGGGCCTGCCTTCACCCTCTCTCCTAACTACAAAATACACATGGTGTTGACATGGGAAGGCTATAAATCTCACACATTGTGATTCATTCCAGCCTTGAAGAATAATTTTAATTATTCTTGCCCCAAGTCACATGAATCTGTGTTCTCCATACCCTGGAATGGTTACCCAGTTATAATTAGGGGTTAATAAAGGGATAGTAACTGGGGAGAGAGGAGGGAGCAAATATGAAGTGTTTAAGTGTCTGTGTGCATGTGGGTGTATATATGTGAAACTCTCAGTGTGCATCTGTGCAGTTCTATGGAGGCTATTTGTCCCTAAGGACACTGTGAATTCTGGTTGTAGGTGTGAGTATGTAGGTATGTTTATGTGGACAGAACTTGTGCTTTTTAGCGTGTATGTGTGAGAGAGAACGAGAGCAAGTACACACAGAATATGTGCCCATGTGGCTCAGTGAGCGTGAGCTGTGTCCTGGCATGTGTATGTTTTGTGAGTAATATCCCCGATTGGATGTGTCCAGATGGTTTCTGTTAGTTGCTCTGTGATGTGGGTCCATGTAAGAATGCTGGTGTCTGTACCTGGATGGTGGGCAACATCTCTCTGGGAATGTGATGAGAATGCTGCTACTACCTTTTCTTCTTATTTGTAACATGTAGGCCAATGTTTTTCAACTTTTCTTTTTTTAATCTCATGGAACACTTGAACCTATAGTTAAACTTTTGCGACACACTTACGTTATGTTGATCAAAAAAAGAGTAAAGAAAAGAACAAACCTACTATGGTTTGAATGTCTTTCAAAAATAATTGAATTAATGATCTTTAAAAATTTTTGCGGCATGCCTAAGATCCTCTCATAGTGCCGCAGCACAAAGGTTGGAAATCACTGATGTAGGCTGTGCTGTGTGCGCCTGTGGAAAGTGCAGTATTGGGATGTTTGTGACTTTCAGCATACATGACATTTGTCTGTGCTCATACATGGATTGTGCATGGTATTTATGAGAAGAAATCCTTTTGTGCGGTATATGTATTTCCAGTTACATGTAAGTGGAAGGTGATGTCCAAATTGTGAGTGTGTGTGGTGGGGTGGGGCACACTGTGATGACTGTATTTGGGTGCCTATGTCTGGTGCATATGGTTTAGGGCAAATTTCCTTTGTGTATTGGGCATGGATTATGTGGTACAGCAGTGAGTACGGCATCTGTATTCCTCAGCATTGATCAATGTGTGGTGTCTGTGTGTGTCTGGGGGTGGAGGTAGGTGATTGAAGACGTCTGGCTATGAGTAGCAGAAATAATTTCCAAAGTTGAGAGACAAGACCCTAAAAGGCTCAGCTTCTCTTGGCTCAGCCCAGGGTTATGACTTAGTCTCTGGACTAAGGAAGAGGAAAGGTGCTTCCTCTTTCCACCCTCTCACAGGCCAGACCATGCCTTCATCCCCACCAAAAGGATTTCAAGTATCTTTAACCTCATTTTTTAAAATTTATTTTTATTTTTTATTTGTTTTTTTTCTTTGCTAAATCTTAACTGTGTAAGATTCTTGGCTCCCTCTTCATGCCTTCCTTGCCTTGTTTGCCTGCGGCATTGGCCTCCCAACCCCTGCCTTCTGGCCTTGATAGCAGATCACAGCCTCTTTCTTTACCTTCCTTCTTTGTCTTGTGGATGTGTCAAACATATACTATGAAAGGCCTCCATTGGAGGGAGTTCTGCTAATCTTGGGGGAGCAGGGTAGAGGGGGACTTAGCCAGCCCTCCCTGTGCTCCAGCATGGAAACTCGCTGAAGGCAGCAAGCTGGTAAACCTACAGACGTCACCTTGTGCACCTAGTCTCATGTCACACTGCCCTTTAGTGCCTGATGTCCAATGTCTTGCAAACCGTAGTTTTATGTGCATTGTCTCCTTTACCCCTATTAGGTGGTCATTGCTTCCTGTTACTTCATCTTGGAGAGAAGTAGAAATCTCTTGGGTATTTTCTGAAGTCCTTGCATCATCCCAGTCTATGGGAAGTTAATAGAAGCAGCAAAGATAGCTGTAGGGTGATGACATCAAGTGTCAGGCCACAGGTTCTGCAGGCACCAGAAGTTCTCATACTCAATAATTTTTATGTGGTCTGAATTAGAATAGTCTGATTTTTCATTGATTTTTTTTATTCTTGAGTTAACATGCCTATGTTATGAATTTTAAACTTATGGTTCTAAAACTGGTCAATAAACAATGAGAAGAAACCAACTAAAAATTGTGCTATTCTATTTATTGACATAGTTTTAACTTGAATATAAGGGATTCAGTTTCACATTCAAATTGTTCTCTAACTTTCTAAAATGTTCTCTTACTATTTTTGCCCTGAAGAGAGAAACCAGATGGCACAGGTCTTATATGGTTGGTGTTGGTAGGAGAGGGTTAAAGAAACGACATCCTCTGTCCCGAGCCAGAAGTTCTGTAACCCAAGGCTGGGGAGTGGAAAGCAGAGGCACTGTCCCCAGGGACCTAGACTCAGGAACCAGAGCCTGGGAGAGAAAGGGAGGGAGCCCAGGGGCAGTGGGGAAGGGAAGATGGGCCCACTGGGTTCCAGATTCAACAAGGAGCTAGACAGGGTCCACCATGGGACAGAAGGCAGGAGAGAAAAAAGGACACTTCAGAATGAAAATGGCTGACGCTTAATTGTAGAGTCCTCCTGCAAGCATACTTCGTCTATCCTCTGGCCTCCAAGAAACTTGGAGAAAGAGCTTCACAAAAACCATGGCCACACACACGAGTTTCTTCGAGCCTTTTCTTACTCATTTCTCCTGTCTAACTTTGTATCAGGAGCCAGCATAAGTGTCCCTGCTGGCACAGGCCCATTGCAAAGGACTCTAGAAACCTCTGCCCACTTCCCCTCCTCCTCACACCCCTAGACACATCCTCCCAGGATACAGGAACCAAAGGGGAAGCCCAAACCTCAGTGGGCTAGTGGGGGGCAGCTGCTAGCGTACCCTCTGGACAGCATTCTGCCCTCCAGCAGGGAGAAGCAGAAAGAGGGAGGAGGTAAGGCCCAGAATAAACAGGAGGAGGTGGAGTCTGAGAGGCAGGACTTCAGTGAAGCTTGCCAGACCTCTTCAGGAGGAGTGCTGGACGAAACGGGCCCCACGTTCCTTCAGCACAGCTGAGGTGAGTACAGGAGGCCTGGGGCACGCCCAGGTGTGTGGGTTTCCTGTGGTGAGGTATTTCCCATTAGACCTACTGAGGGGCTGAGAAACCAGACTGAACAACTGTACAACCAGAAGTGTGAGAGAAGGTCAAGGAAGCCCCTGACTCAAAGGATAGGCAGCCTTAGCAATTTCTATGAAGGTGTTAGAACTTGCCTAAGGATAATATTCAAGCAGTGGCCAGTTTACTGGGCCCCCGTCTAGAGACTGGCAGGGGCTGGGGTGAATGAATGTGAACAGGGTCTGACAACAGACTCAGTTGGGGTTAGATTGGGGCTGCACTGGGGTTGGGCAGGGGTTTGGTGTGTGAACAGGGCCAGTATCCAGGTTGTCAGTGTGGTTGAAGTTTAATCTGTCACTGGGGGTCTGGTAATGGCTGCGTTGAGGTGGGAGCCCTCAGTGGGATTGGGGTCATTCTATACAGTACATCAGTACCCAGGTCTTTGTGTGGCTGAGATTAGGGCTTTGTAACCTTCCCAATGGTCTGGTCTTGGCTCATCTGTGCCCAGAATCAGGATTCAGTTTTCAGCTCTTTTAAAGAGTGGATTAGTGTCCCCGGCACACCCTCCCCTGCCTTGTTTGCCCTAGCACATGGAGCTACTTGTAGCTCTCCAAACAAGGTTTGTTCTTATTATTTCTCTGGGACTTTGCATTTGCTGAACATAATTTTAAAAACAAATAGCAAGTTTGTTGCTTAAATTCTCCCGAGTCACTTAGAATTAAAGCGAAAGTATTTGCCATGTCCTGCCATCCCCTGTTACTTGATCTGGTCTCGCCCTCCAGGCCTCTTCATGCTCTCGGTGCTCCAGCCACTTTGACCTGCTTTCTGTTCCATGAGTGCCCCAGACTCATTCTTGCCTGAAGACCTTTTCCCCGCCTGTCTCCTGTGCCTGGGAGGCTCTTTTCTTAGATCTTCGAAAGGTTGGCAATTTCACTTCTCATAGCTCATATGTCACGTCCTCAGAGGGGTTTCTCGGATCCTATCTCACATATGGGTGCCCAGCACCCATCTTCCTCTATCCTATCACTCTTTCTTATCTTTTGTACACTTACCTGTACCTGACGTTTTCTTGCTTATTTATTTCTTTTACTTTTTGGTGGTGTCCTCCTAGAACATGAGATCCATGAGAGCAGTGATCTTGTTTGTCTTATGTACTATTTGATCTCCAGTTTTGACACTCAGTAAATTTTTGTTGTCTAACTCAATGCTGCTGTGAACCAGTTCCCCATTGGCTTGGTTAACTGCGGCTGGTTCCACAAGTTGTCAGAAGTTACCTCCACAGGATAGCCCTCTGAGCCTACAAAGCTTGGTGAGCTGTTCCTGCCTTTGGTTTCATGGCTCTTGTGCTTACTCTCATCCTGGCACTCATCACAGTGTGCTGTGATATCTCTGTGTTTGTCTAGTTTCTCCCTGCCCTGGGAGGGCTGGGACCATGCCTTCCTTACCCTGTGCCTCAGTGTCTCCAGTGTTCAGCACAGAGTCGATCAATCAGTAGCTGATGAGGAAATGAGTGCACTGGTAAAAGTCCCACATCAGACACTTCCCCAGCCAGAGTAGCCCCTAAGGGCACTGATACCTAAGTCCAGCTTTGCAGCTCTGTAACCACTTATGTGGTCCTACTCGGGAAATAGAGGACTAGGGACTTGGACCCTAGGGACTCTGATTTTAGGGGGCCAGGCTAACTTGAGTGATTAGGGTGGGGTGGGGCCTCACTTTGCTTTTTTTGAGTTTTGTGGCCAACGCCTTGCAAGAGTTCATCTGCTTTATCAAATCCAAGCAAGGTACAGGGGACTGCAGATGCAGATAATTTGGGTGGATGTGATTCTCACAGAGCCCTAGGGAAAGGGCTCTCTCTCTGAGAATCAAATGAGAAGCTCACACAGTTCTGGCCAGCTACAGTATTGCCCCTGAGGTCTACTTACTCTCTGGGCCAGGGAATAGGAGCCAGAGGCTCCCAGGTATGTCTGGGGTTCCTTCCAAAGATAATTTCTTCCAAATGTTCTTAAATGCTGACAGTAGCCTAATAGGCCCCAACTCCATTGCTCTGGGCATGGGACATTCTGTGTATTTAGCCTACCTAGTGACAGTGATCACAAATCCCCTCCTTGTTCTCTTTCCACATTGAACCTAAGTGGGAAGAGCTGGTCAGGTATCTTGAGTTGTAGAGGAGTCCTGGACTCTTGGGTCCTCAATTTTGGATTCCTTGGAGATTAGCACTGAAATGGTTCTTACAAAGCACCAGTCCACTATTAAGGAGCCTTGCATATTGGAAAGCAATGGATTTGGCACTAAGGTCTCTAAACCTCAACATCCTTATCTGTTAAATGGGATTAATAATACCTACTTGACACAAGTTGACAAGAGGCTCTAGTTAGATAAGAAGGAAGTATTTGATAGAGGATAAAGTTTTTAAATCTCTATTGTGGGGCCTGCCCATGTCACAGACAGGGCATTTGGGGCTGGAAGAGGAGACAGGTGCCTCATGTCCCTATTTGGTGAGTCCTTTTTGCTGCCCTCTTGGTTTCCCTTCTAAGAGTTTACATGGGCCCAATGTCAGACTTACAAAGGCCATCTTCTACCTTACCTCTTGGGCAGATGTTATTAGTTTTCAGAAGGCTTAGCACAGTTAGAGGCAATCTAGAAAGTGTATAGGCCTTGGTGTTAGACAATCTAGATTAATCTGCTTTAGCAGTCAACTGTTAAACCCTGGGAGTATTATCTAAGTTCTTGGAGCCTCAGTTATCTCACCTGTAATATAAAGATGATATATAAAACTTCTACTATGGAGAGCTGTTCTCAGGTTAGAGATAATCTTTACACAGATGACACTGCATAATGTCTGGCATTCTGTAGACATTTAATAATTTATGTTCATAACATAAAAACAATAAAATCAGGGCTAAGAGTGACCTTATTGTCTGCTTGGGTCAGAAGAGGTAGGGCTAATAGCCTGTGGTCTACCTCCCTGCCTGCTTTTCTGTGGGTCTCTGAGAAGAAAAGAATTCAGAATTCTGGGGCAGAGTGTGAGTTGGTGATGGGGCTGAGCCGGCACAAGAAGACTGAGTCCTGAAGGCCTGGAGGAAGGAAAGGAGACTAAGGGCAGTGTCACAGTGGATTTCCACTCAGTAAGTTGAGGCTATTCTTCCCCATTTCTGAGAAATGGCTGAGTTTCATAGTTGTCCAAGAAACATTCCTGGGACTTGCTAAGATAATTCAACTTTTCAAGAGAAAATCTCAAGCATAGTGCTATTCCCTGGAGATCAGGGCAGTGTGTGGGCTTTCTTTCTTTCTTTTTTTTTTTTTTTTTAAATAAATATGGAATACTTCACGAATTTGCATGTCATTCTTGTAGAGGGGCCATGCTAATCTTCTCTGTGTTGTTCCAATTTTAGTATGTGTTGCCAAAGTGAGCACCGTGTGGGCTTTCTTAAAAAAAAATTTAAAAAAGCTTTCTTAGTTTATTTTTATTTGATTGTGTTTTACTTTCAAAATAGAGTTGATTGAGTTCCTACTTCCTCCACAGCTCCAAATCATCTCTCTGAGTCCTAATTACTAATAGCTGCTCAGGCTTGAGGGCCACCTGGAAGTCATCTGGTTCCTCTGTCTAACTCTTGGAGGGCCTCTTAGAGATTTAGATGCTGTAGGGCTATCTGAAGGGTGGTGCTTGGGCTGGCTGCCCGGTCCCCTCTATCTTTCTTCATTTCTCTCCTGCTGCAGTCTTCTGAGGTCTAGCCTGATAGTTTACTCCCAGAAATAGCTGCCCATCTTATGCCACCTAGCCACCTTGCTTCCAGACTGGCTGACTCTTCCCCTTTTTGATTTCAGATACCTTGATATCAGAGCCCAGTCTTGCCATTGTGAAACACTGACTGCTAGTCAGCATGTGTGTGTATAAGTGTGTGCATAGAGGCCAAGTGATGATCCAGGTGACAAATTTTGGGAAATGAAGGTATTTGAAAATGTCATACTTTTTCAGAGGTTTTCTTCATTTTCTGTGGAAAAATGTGCTCTATGCATTCTGATTTAGTTTTTACAACTCCCATTGACATACCTTATCTCATATCATTTCTTAGCAGCATTATGAAGTTGTTATTATTTTCTGCATTCATTTAGAGCCAAGACTTGCATTTGAAGCCCCGGGATTGTGCTCACCACATCCCTCTACCTTCAGAGGCAATAGAATTGCTTATGCCCATAACTGGCTCTTTCCTGTATGTTTCAAAAGGCAGCACATTTTCATCCCAGGGATCACTTGCTCTATCATGTTGGGTTTCTGTAAAATTTCTAGATGGATTCTGGCCCTCTGGAGTACCAGAATCTTCTTACTGATGTCTCCAGGTGAAGGATCCTAGTATTCCCTGCTCTCAGGCCCAAACTGTGCTCCATGTCCATTTTGCACTTATTGGGACCAAGACTTTGCAGGTGCCCTTTTTTCTGTGTATCTTCTCATGCCCTTTGGCTCCCTGGGTAAGAAAAGGCTTTCTACTTGAGTCTAAAGATTCTTGTTCTGAAACTGAGATCACTATCCACTGAACTTATATTCTTTCATCCTTCATAAAAATCTCTATAGTTCAGATAACTGTCAGTCCTACCTACCCCCTTGGCTTTGTTACCTTCAGTAGAAACCTACTGAGGGATACTTCCATTGTCAAAACTCATTTTTATCTTCCACAAACCTTAACTAAACACTAATTAATAAATATAGTAGTGTCCCTGGCATTAAAGAGCTCATATTTCAGGGAAAAATAAATATAGCAGTAACTGTTATGGTTATAATTATCAGGAGAGTAAGTGCATAAAAAGAGACCTAAATAAAGTTCTTTGGGAGCACAGAGCAGCAAACATTTAATTATACCCAGGGGAAAGAGGCTTCAGAAAAGTAGCTTACAGGAGACAGTAAGCCAGGACATGAAAAATGAGCATGAGATGTCAAGAAAGGAGATTTGGAAGGGAAGTTTTTCTTGACAAAGGTATGAGAAGTTAAAAAAAAATAAGAAGTATATAGAATCGTGGGAATCATTACAATATTTATGAAATAGCGCATGTTTCCATGTTTCTGGATGACAGGGGGTCATGGTGAGGGGTGATGAGGGCCAGATGCTAAAAGACAGATCTTTAGCTACATCCTGAGAGGGTTAGTCTTATTCTAGAATCAATTTTAAGTTTCAAGGGTATTCTTCTAAAACAGTAGGTGGTAACCTGATTTCAACCAGTTAGATTCTTAGGATGGTAAGGATGAGGAAAGTTACATTAGAGGCACAGCCGTCAGGGTCAGAGGACCTCAGTTATGAGGCTGTTCTGGTCACTGTAACAGAAAAAGAAATACTGGAGGAAAATGATTAAGAGCAACAGATGTAGTTTTTTGTATACTTAGTATGTGGGGGGTATTGTGTTAAGTGCTTAACATTTATCATCTCATTTAGTCCTCACATCAACCCATGTTAGGCAGGGGCTATTATGACCATTTTAAAGATGAAGAAACTGATGATGAGAAAGGTCAGATGATTTGCCTCAGATCACACAGCTCATGAGGTTGGGATTTCAAAGCAGGATGGAATGCAGAGTCACACTCTATGCAACTGTACAAGGCTGCCTGTGGAAGAGCTCATTTTTAGAATAAAAAATAAATAAAAGGATTGATGTACTTGAGAGACAATTAAGTAGACTCTTGTAGTAGGAATCTAGAATTATGAATATGGGTTACAAAAGAGAATTCAGAGCTCACTAAATAGACTTGAGAACCAATAGTTTATACATGAAAGAACTGATTTACTGAAAGGAATGAGATGGTCAGGGAACAAAGGATGGAATAATAAGAGCACTGAAGGCTTGGTGCCGGTGGCTCAAGTGGCTAAGGTGCCAGCCACATATACCTAAGGTGGCAGGTTCGAATCCAGCCTGGGCCCACCAAACAACAATGATGGCTGCAACCAAAAAATAGCTGGGTCAAGTTGTGGCAGCGCCTGTAGTCCCAGCTACTTGGGAGGTGGAGGCAGGAGACTCGCTTGAGCCCAGGAGTTGGAGGTTGCTGTGAGCTGTGATGTCACAGCACTCTACCCAGGGAGACAGTTTGAGGCTCTGTCTCAAAAAGAAAAAAAAAGAAGAGCACTGAAGATAAAAATTCTGGAGAACATTATTATTTAAGGGTATGTTTAAGAGTCAAGGAGAAGAAGGTGGGGCTCCAGAAAGGAGACCAAGGACTAGTGATCATAGAGAAATAAGGAAGAGCAGAACAGAGAGGGAGGAGTTTTAAGCAGAAGGGGACTGCTCAGAATGCCCCATGCTATAGGGAAGCTATAGAAGAGTGAAGGGACATTGATGACTTGGGCCTCTGTGCCTGGATTCTAGGTTAAATATGGTTCCTTGGCCTTAAACCTTCTCCCTCCAGCAGATTGAATTAAACTCTGCTATCATTTGTTCTAAAGTGTTTTCCTGCTGAACTCTCTCTGGTCTGTGGACAGCTCAATTATGGAACCAATGCTACTCATTGGCACAACCTAAGTCCAGTGAATGGTCTATACCCCCTTATGCTGAAAATGAGTTTGCCTCACGCTCAACTGCTCCCTGGAAACCCATGAATGAGGCCCCTGTCCCAGCTCTCAGGCTCTGAATCTATTTGAAAACTACAAAGGTAATCAAATAATCTGATGAATACAGGTCAACTATTCATTGTCTAAAAGTCAGACTTCTGAAATGATCCATTATCTAAAGGTCTTTGAGTGCCAATATGATGCTCAAAGGAAATGCTCACTAGAGAATTTCAACTTTTAGATTTTTGGATTCGGGATTCTGTATTGGGAAAGTACAGTGCAAATATTTCAAACCCCAAGAAAAATGTGAAATTAGAAATGCTTGTACTCCCAAACATCCCAAATAAGGGATACTCAACCTGTGGTATGAGCATATGAAAATTTGTGGATAGAAGAGAAGAACGGAGTTAGTTAATTCCTAACAGAGAGCTACAATCTAAGGTCACTCAAGTCTGACATTTTCCACCTCAGCAATATCTCCTCATATATTACCTGTATAGCCACATTCAGTACATATTCAGCCTGAACACTGCTATAGGACTGATTAATTCTCGGTGCTTCTAATGTCACCATCACTCAGAGTTAGTGTTCAATCATGATAATCCTACTCTCTTCAGCTGGATAGTTCTCCTAGAAGCAGATCCTGATATGGGGACTCTTTTCCAAAAGATGGTATTGAGGGAATACCGTCATGAGAAGAAGAGGGAGGGAAGCTGGCTAGGGCAGGACACAAAAGCTAAGATAGGCTTTTGGTCTCAGCTGGAGCCCCTGAGAAGTTATGAAACAAAAATTCTACCATAGTGTTGTTTCCTCCAGAAGTAAGGGGGGGGGTGACCTTTGTACCTTCATGTCAGGCAGTCACTGACTTCTAGATGTACCTTATAGGGGCATAGTGTAGCCTCCTAGGTGAGGTGCCTCCCATTTCACTGAGGGGCATGCTCTGGAGAAAGATGAAGCTGTGAGTTCCTAGCATTCAACACTCACCATGGGTGGGAGATAAGTGTATTAGCTTTGTGAACAGGTATTCTTGGTAGAATACCAATGGCATTAGGCACTGTTCCTTTTCTTTTTTTTTCTTTTTCTTTTTGACACAGAGTCTCAAGCTGTTGCCCTGGGTAGGTAGAATGCTGTGGTGTCACAGCTCATGGCAACCTCAAACTCTTGGGCTTAAGCGATCTTCTTGCCTCAGCCTCCCAAGTAGTTGGGACTATAGGAACCCACCACAATACCTGGCTAGCTTTTTTGTTGTTGTGGCAGTTGTCATTGTTGTTTTAGCTGGCCCAGGCCAGGTTTGAACCCAGTATCCTTGGTATATGTGGCCAGTGCCCTACCCACTGAGCTATGGGTGCTGTCAGCCACTTTTCCTTTTTTATTTTTTTATTTGTTTTTACTTTTTTTTATTGTTGGAGATTCATTGAGGGTACAAGAAACCAGGTTACACTGATCGCATTTGTTAGGTAAAGTCCCTCTTACAATTGTGTCTTGCCCCCAAGAGATGTGTCACACACCAAGACACCACCCCTCTCCCTCCTTCTTTCTCGCTCTGCTCTCCTCTTCCCCCACCCCCACCATGTCATTGTCATTGATTGTCCTCATATCAAAATTGAGTACACAGGATTCATGCTTCTCCATTCTTGTGATGCTTTACTAAGAATAATGTGTTCCACTTCCATCCAGGTTAATACAAAGGCTGTAAAGTCTCCATTTTTTTAATGGCTGAATAGTATGCCATGGTGTACATATACCACACCTTGCTAATCCATTCCTGGGTTGGTGGGCATTTAGTCCCTTTCCACATTTTGGCGATTGTAGTTGAGCTGCAATAAACAGTGTACTGCAAGTATCCTTATGATAAAAGGATTTTTTTTTTTCATTCTGAGTAGAT